TAATATTATTATACCCGAAAACTGTCTACTTGAACAATAGATATTTTTATTTACAAGTATAAATTGTGAGGTTTTTATTTTGACTCAGTATATCATCAAATGTTGAATCAGTAGTGAGTGTGACCACAATTGGCTTCAATGCACGCAAAAACACGTCGACGCATTGATGACGTAAGACGACGGATGGCGTCAGGCGTGATCCGTCACCATTCCTGGTGACATTGTTCCAGTTGTTGAGCGGTGGCAGGTGGCGCTGGTAGTCTACTGATTGTTTGATCCATGGAGTCCCATAAGTGTTCATGTCGGCAGAACATGCTGGCCACGGCAAAATAGCGATGTTAGCGTTATGGAGAAAATCGTGTGTCAGTCCTTGCGTTGGTAGACAATGCCACGTGGATGTTGCTGGATAAATGGCAACACGGCTGGTCGCAAAACTTCATTCCTGTATCTTCGAGCATTGAGGTCTGATGACTTGCCAGGGTGCAGCCGAAGGTTCTGTCAATGACGGTGTGGGTGGGTCCTTGTTGGGCCAGTCCGACAGCTCTCTCTCTTTCGATTTGCCTCAAACGTGGCATATTTTGTGTGTTCTGTCTATCACTGTGTTGCTCACGTGTCGCCTAGGTTGCCTTGTACCGTCAGTCTGCACGTGCATTTCGTGTTACATCAGAAAAAGTTGTTCCGGATTTTTTGCGATGTTTAGGCGATTCGTTAACTCGTTTCGCCGTTTGATCCTGGAAAGGATGGGTCTGTACGTGCGTAACATGGCTCACTATAGTTTTATTTTTTAGGGGTAGTATTTTTTGGAGGTAATATTTTGCCGTGTGTAGTTTCTTTTGAGCACTAGTTGAGTTGTGTTTGCTTCCAGTAGGTACTATTGGCTGATTCATGCACTCACAGTACCTTTTGTATCAATTGTGTTGTGTAGCTACCTCTATGAGACTATTGCTCTCATTTATCATGTGAAGTATCATCATGATGTGTTAAGGAAAGATGTGTGATCTGTGTTAGATTAAAGACAAATATACATATATACGTGGATGATCATATACTGGTACTGTAAGAACCAAGTCGTTTTTTAATACTTTATTCTTGTCTTCTAGTTTTTTATCTATTTTCGTTACAAACGAAGTTTACAAATGCAGCTTTCAAATGCAGATTGATTGAAATAAATTAAAAAAAACACAACAACAACAATTGCTTCAGGTTTGAAGCAAAAGTGTAAAACTGGCTTACCATTGTTGCGGATCAAATACATTGTAACTGGTTAACTGCCATTATCACTGTTCAATACCTTTAACCTTTTCCCATGTACACATTCTCTGACTCTGATACTTATGTGCAGGTATAACCTATGTCGGTTCCACCACCGATAATAGCACAACCCATACCGCCCGAACGGAACCGAGTGACAGAAACGTCTCTGTTGGCCAAGTCATCATACCAGTTATCGGCGTAATACTTCTGATTGTTATCGCTGTCGTCGTGGCCTGTTTCCTCGTAAGGTAGGTAGCACTGCTAGAAACAACTAAAAGAAGTCCATATATATTTTTCGTTATTAAACATGATTCATCAGGGCGGAAATTTTCAAAAGAGAATGTTCAATGTGAACTAGTGCATCTGACCAAATACATCAAATGTAAGATTTGCATCTACGAACATAATAGTGTACTACATATTAATATTATACGATAAAGCATTTTGTAGTTATTGTATTGTTATTTCTTCCAACAGACGCTAATTCCAGGGAAAATCTCACTACTTAAATCACACATAAATACATTTAAGCAATCTGACAATAATTACAAGATATATATGAATTAGAATAAACACGGGCATTTATTCTTTCAGGGTGAGACAACTTGCATCAAGATGAAATTAGAAAGCCTACAAATATGTCAAGAAAAGAGGATGTTGAGAAGACAAATTTAATAGCCTGAAGGCAAGAAAGAGAGAAATATACTCTTCAACAACAAAAAATTGACATGCTGTTTTGCTGTTTTACTGAGAGCATATAACTGATTCAAAAATGACATCAATGGTGAATTACGGTGAAATTATCACTTTACAAATTTCCAAAACATGATTATCCAGAAAGTGTTTCGGAAAACCACAGAGGACTATTAAAACTACTTGGTCAGAGTAAAATCGCTCCATGAGAACTTTTTTGTTCTATCGTCATAAATTAGGTCATATTGACCTTTTGGTATGGTTTGAAAGTTCTTGGCGAGCTCTAAACGATAGAATTAACATCAATAGAATTTCTCAATAATAAAGCTGTCAGGGACAGAATCATTTTGTTCTATCTAAAAACACTTCACTTGATTTCAGTTCTATACTATTCTATCATTTCATCCTATCAATTGAGTGAATTTGCATCATGTGATCAAAGGTTTCTTTGATGTTTGGACGGAACTGGTGGGATGTTGATGATCATCATAAATTCAGGTGAATAAATGCTAAAATCATTGTATCAGCGTATTCATTCAATAATAGACTTAATGATTTGATCGTGCTGTAATTTCCATTTAATTTTGTTCAGAAATAACGTCATTGGTGAGAATTTAATCTAGCAATTAATGACAATTTGGATACGTTAACAGTCTTTAAGGTTGGTACTTTAAAGGACATCTCATCAGACAATGCTCTACAATATTTCTACAGGGTCTCCTTCACTGGCGTATAAACTATAGTTGATGATCTTTGTAGTTCCAGGCAATTTATAATGTTAATATTTTAGGAGTATGCCCTTTGGATTCAGGCACTTTAAGGTGTTAATGTTTAAATCTTTGAACCAGACAAATAAGGTTTGTGTCGATGTTCATAACCCATGGTTTGAAAGCCTGATCTATTAAAATGTTTTCTTCATTCTTATCTTTTATATCTGGTCAGAAATGTTCATATTAAAAAGGTTTTTAATACAGAAAAAGTTGGCACAGCAATTGTTTCTTTGAATGGTTGATGGCCATGTTTAAATCATTATGTTCATTATTGTTTAGAAATGTTTATAAGCCAAGGCTGGCTTTCAAACATTTGGCTTACTCATATTTATCCTTTTCATCGAAAAAAAACCAGTATGCTGAGCTGAGATTATTTTTATTCGCTTGTTTTTGAGTTGCATTATTTACTTAAGTAATTTTATTTTTAAGTAACTCTTTGCCTCAATACTAATAACACCTTTCGATAAAACAACAAATACACGCAATTCCCATATTTATTATTCTGTATGCTTTCGTTGTAGTCGATTGTTTCTGAATTATAGATTATAAAGAAAGTGAAGAAAGAAATAGAACACTTTAAGACTTAATATGTGCTTAAAAAAGTATAGAATAGTTTCAGATTTTAACTCAAGCGTTCTACTTCAAGCATAAAATCTTCGTTTTCCCTTAAGTTACGTTTAAATGAGGGATTAGAGGAGTAATTTTATTAAAGTCACACGGAATAAATACCAAAAAAAGCCATTTGCAACGAGACAATATTCAAAATTACATAATACCATTATGCCAAAATTTCAAACTCAAATTTCCACAAATGTAAAAAATGGCAAATAGAACAAAATAGTTGTCATGGAGCGAAATGTCAGTATCTGGTGTGGCCATCATGAGCATCGATAACAGCTTGGCAGCGGTGACCCATAGAAGAAAGGAGATGCCGAATGCTGTCTTGAGGAATGTTTTGATACTCTTGCTGAAGTGCTATGTGCAGTTCTTGTAGGGTCTGAGGTGGCGGATTACGCTCGCGCGTGCGTCGATCAAGAGTATCCCATAGGTGTTCAATGGGGGACAAATCCGGTGATCGAGAAGGACAAGGACTGTCTGGTCGGAGATTTGGCGCTGTCCAAGGATTTGGATTGTTGTGGATGATGCGGCCGTGGTGTTTTAACGAAGATGTCTCAACCGGATATAGCGATTCTGGGCGGCGGTGCTAACTCTAGGTCGACCTGACCTGGGTCTGTCATTAACATACATATTGTTGTATCGGGTCCTTAGGGTTGAGATGGTCTGTCTGCCACCTCATGCTGCGATACCCGTCCTTGTAAACGGCCGATGGCGTTGTGTCGTTGGGCTTCTGCCATTCTTTTCATTCTCTTGTCGTCTGTGGTGGCTTAAAGCAATGCATGTGGAGTAACATTGATGTTACATAGGCTTCAGCTCAGGGCGATTCACTACAGACGTGAGTGTAACGTTAGGTTTTTGTTCAACGTTTCTCTTTTCAAACGTTTTGTCGTCGGCAACTATTCCCTCCATTCAGCATGGATTGGTTTGTGTCAATATTTTTTAAGAGTATATTATGTATTGTTATATTTACGATGTTTAAGAGTTGTTAATATGGCGTTAGCTTCTTCTGTTAAATAGAGCTGTCGTCTGGTAATCTAGAAGACATTGTTATGGATCCAATGACAGTGTCACAAGCAACAGCGCCACCGTCCTTGGACTAGTTTTGTAAATAAAGATTTGTATGTATTATAAATATTTCTTAATTGATTGAATTAGTGTATGTACTGTAATTCATTTGTTTCCGACGCCAAGGAGTGAGTGAGTGAGTTTAGCTTTACACCGAACTCAGCAATATTCCAGCTATATGGCAGCGGACTGTAAATAATCCAGTCTGACCAGACAATCAAGTGATCAACAGTATGAGCATAGATCTACGCAATTGGGAACCAGTGGAGTAAGCTGACAGGAGATACGGCATACGACACACAAGACGAGGGGGAAGCCGAAGTAAGCAGACAGTAGATACGGCATACGACACACAAGACGAGGGGGAAACCGAAGTAAGCAGACCGGAGATACGGCATACGACACACAAGACGAGGGGGAAGCCGAAGTAAGCAGACCGGAGATACGGCATATGACACACAAGACGAGGGGGAAGCCGAAGTAAGCAGAACGGAGATACGGCATATGACACACAACAGAAAGTCGGCAGCAAATAAAACAGAAAATTCTGAACCCACTGACAGTTAAAATCTTGTGTACCCTGTCTACCCACCCGACAACATGGCTACCGACATCAAGCAGTTTGTTGCGGCCTCTTTCCGTAGCCAGTCTGAAGACATTACACGCCAGCTGAACGACCTGAAAAGTGACTTCACAGAAGTGAAAAAACAACACTCATGAAATTATGAAAACTGTAGAATTTAATTGTGCGCGAACAAAACGGCGATATAGCGAGTCAGTGACGAGGGATCGAGTCTTCGTGACGGAGTCGAAAAGAGATTCATGACTCAGGAGCTGTGCAGTAGGAAGCTAAACCTGCTTATCTACGGGGACCGACAACTGAAGACCCAGAAGAGCCTGTCAGAGACATATTCCACGCCATAGGAAATAACGACGCTCGCGACATGTTCCCCGGCTGGGTGCGGATCCAATATGGCCGTCTTCCGGACCGGCCCAGTTATGGTCAAGTTTGTAAGGATGACAGACAGACAGGAGGTCTACAACGCGAGTTTCAAACAAGGCGGAGTATATTATTTTGTTATTTTATTTTATTTTATTTGCAAGGTACGTATGGTGTGTGAATGGTGTGAATGTGATTCCATTGCATCAGTAAGTGATTCCATTGCATCATGTAAGTTATGGATAGCAATTTCTCGTGTGGTTCCTTCAACTGTCGAGGTCTTTGTAATCTAGCTAAGAGAAGAGATGTCTTCATCTTTTTGCGTTCCGAAAAGTTTCCCCTTTACCTTATCCAAGAAACACATTTTACTTTTCAACAGGAAAAATATATTGAGAAAAAGGCCACAGCTCTTGACTGGCTTCAATGACAATTATTCGTAATTGTCATTGAAGCCAGTCAAGAGCTGTGGCCTTTTTCTTTAATAAAAAACTGACCATACGATCCATGAAGTTCATAAACATGAATCCGGTAACTTTCTTCTGATTGATATTACTCTCAATGGCGCGCCGAGTAATATCTATGGTTCGAATTCTCATTCACCAGATTTGTACAAAATGATTTTAACAAAATTAGTTTCCATTTGAATATTGAAAATACAGCAAAGCGAAAGTCCACTGAAGTTCAATAACTCGTTGTTGTAGGACAAGGAATACGTTGAGGAAATTAAAAATATTATACATTCACTAAAAAAGGGATTATGCTGCCCGAATCTATAACTTTGAAAACCTTCAACATGTTCCAAATCTTTACCCTTGACCTTGAACTTTCAATCAATGACCACCATCTCATGCTTCATTCAAAAAGAAATAGTTAAACAAAAAGAAGAAAAACTTAAAATAGATATTACAACAACACTGGAGAAACTGTTGTAGAATAATAACAAATTAAAAAAACAAGACCTGCAACTGCTACGACGAAGAAAATTAGATGTAATTTTGGCAAGATCTAAAGCCAAATGGATTGATTAATGGGAATGCATCAGTAAATATATTATTGAAGGGTCACCTATATTACATGCATCTGCAAAGAAATTAAAACAAATATGAGAGACATAGTAATTTGTAATGGTTGTATGGAGTTTCATTTCAGCAGTGATAACAAAAGAAATTGCATAAATACAAAAGGGCGCTTGCGACTAGCACAGGTAACGTTTCAGGGTACCCTTCAAAAGCAAGTTCACACACAGAAGTCAACACTCCTGGTGGCGAAGAAGGCCAGGCCGACAGACAAACATCTATTTCAGTATGAGGCCACTGGCCAAACATACTTTTATACACATGAAATAGATATACAACATGCTTTAAGTCAGATTTTGTTTTAATAAAGCGTGTAACTTTAAAAAAAAAATAACACAAATTCTGCAAAGTAGTTTTTCCAGTGGATTGTAGAAGAGCTTTTAGTATTTTCATCGTTGGATTTTGTAAATGAAATGGTTTTAGATGTGTCGTCCTTAGATCACTGTATATGATGGGCACTTTTTTTGCACATGGAGCTCGTCTTCGATGACATGAATGTTATTATTCTTGCATCTCAGAATGAAGTGTGAACGGTTTTTGTGATTTTACTGAATGACGTTCCCCACACCTCAGCACCATAACACAATATTGGAACCACCATACTCCCATACAGCTTAAACATATCACTGTAGGCAGAATCACCGAACCTCCTTTGATATTGGTATATAGCCAACATAGCCTTTCGTGCTTGTGCAGCAAGGCTAGGTTGAGCCTTACTCCAAGACAGCTCCGGCGAAAACACAATTCCTAGATATCTGTACTGGTTCACTGTTTCAATTTGTTCGCCTTTAAATTGCCATTTCTCGTAATTTCGAAGAGGTCCACCATTTCTAAAAACTGTTAATTTTCATCCCAGTTTTGTCCCAGAATTCTTCTATAACAGTAATCTTTCTTTGTAATTGTGCAGTCGGCAACAGATGACACATCGTCGGCATAGAGCAGAGCATATATATCTGGTATTTCTGTTGTAATGAAAATAACCCTTCCCCCGTCCTGTTCATCATAGACATTAGTTCGTTTATGACGATTATAAAGAGTTTGGGGCTCAGCACACATCCCTGCCTGGTACCCATGTTGCAGCTGAAGTACTTAGACAGAGCACTTCCAGTTCGTACACACGCACTGAGATTCCTGTACATTGATATCAGACCGCCTCCGTGATGTAGTGGTAAGAGTGTCCGCCCGGAGAGCGGAAGGTCGTGGGTTCGATCCCCGACTGCGCCATACCAAAAGACGTTAAAATATGGTACTTGTTGGTCCCTGCCTTGCGCTCGGCATTAATGGGTACAACAAGGACTGGTCGGCTCGGAGTCAGTATAATGTGTCTGAGTGGGGTATTCATGCTTCACTGCGGCATGGTATCTCAGCGAGCTAGCACTATAGAACCAGCTTCAGTCTGGGCTAGTACAAGCAGCCGCACATACACATACACACGCATGCACGTCGTCATATGAGCGAAATATTCTCAAGCACGACGTTAAACCCAATTTCACCTCACTTCACCTCACATTGATATCAAAATGCTCAAGAGATTCCCTTGAAGTCCAACACTTCTCAACGTATCCAGTAGAATATCATGATTGATACAATCAAACGCTTTACTAAAGTCTATAAAATCGCCCGTTTCTTTTAGAAAGGTATTTTGTGCCATTGCATGAAGCGTAAAGACTTGATCTACGTCGAGTAGCAGGGTGTGAACCCAGCCTAGGCTTCATCAATAACCTATTTTTCGTCACACCAGATTAGGAGTCTTGTATTTATTACTGATGTGAAAACTTTACAAACAGTGTTTATTAAAAAAATGCCTCTGTTGTTCCCAGGATCGTCTTTGCTACCGGATTTGAACAGTGGACATATGATGCTCTTTCCCCATTGAGCCGGAAGATTTTGTTAAAAAGTTTAGTTAAAATACCAATTACATAATATTCAGTAGATTTGAGAAATTCGCTTGCAATTCCATCTTCCCCTGGAGATTTATTGACTTTCAGATCTCTCAAACATTTCCTTATTTCCTCACTTGAGAATGGCTTGTTTATATCAAGGTCATTAATATAGTCCAGTTCGCTAGGAATGTCATAATTGGGATTGATATCTTGATGTAACTGTTTCATAAAATGTCCATACCACTGTTGAGAAGATATTTTTCCGGAGATGTAGGATGTACGGTCGAGCGTTATCATCCTGGAGGGAGACCTCTGCAGTGACGCATGGTCCTCATGAATGGTACCACAATTGGGGCCACTATCTCATCTCTGTAGCGCAGTGCAGTGAGATGTCCCACAATAACGTGTAATAGTGACTTTGCTGTAGCCCGACATCGTCTGTAGATTCTCCTACGACCATCATGAAATGAAACATTAATATAAACCAACTTTCCTCAGTAAACAACACTGACGACCATTGACATTGATCCCAGCGCTGAAGACATGTGCACCATAGTAAATGTGCTTGGCAGTGACGTGCTGTCAGTGGTGGGCGAACAGCTGGACGTCGGGAACGGAGGCCAGCTGAATGGAACCTGCTTCTTACTGTAGTCTGACCAATGCGGACGTTGGCGGCGTTAAATAGTTCATCTCCAAACTTGCATGACGTCAGAAATCGGTTGCGTAGGGCAATGTTGACGAGATAATGGTCCTGTCTCTCTGTGGTAACCCTAGGACACCCAGGTCTTTGGGTATAAGCAAGAGTTCCAGTCGCCTGATGCCGCTGCCAGAGTCTCCTAATCACACTCTGAGTGACGATACAATGTGCACCAATGTGCAACGGTGGCTTCCACCCGCCTGGTGCATGCCAATAGCTCGACCTCGATTTTCCACCGCATTCAATCAAGTGAATTTTTATTGTCAACGAGGCCTGAAAGCACGTTCAAAATCGTCAATTGTTGGAATAATTACCACTGCTTGCTTACTTGTTTTCGTTATTTTCTGAGCTTTAAATGTTGTTCCCTGTTTTAATGCCATAATCGTTAACCATGATTGTAACCTGTAACATCTAAAGTTTGTCTTAATGTCAACTCTAAACATGATTAAAGCAGCTTTAATTTCTAACAGTCATGGGTGACCCTTCAATAATTGCATTGAGCATACTTCTGTAATCTAGAGACAAGAAATTATAGAAGTAAAAATATTAAGGAAATAGAAACAACTAATGGTAAAGTATTGAATGCTTGTGATGAAATCATAACTGAGGCTACTAAAGTTTATGAATACTTGTATTCATCCAGAGAGCACCAGGTGAACAATGTAAACCTCGTGACTTTACTTAGTGACAAAGACACATGTAAGAGTGAGAATCCAAATAGCACTGAAGGCCCTATTACTATGGATGAACTTCTAAGGGCATTACAAAAATCTAAAAAAAATAAGAGTTCAGGTTCAGACTTACTTATGAATTCTTTATATATTTCTGGCTTGACTTCGGAGAACTTTCTGTGGAGATCTTTAAACTACAGTTTTGAAGTTGGCCAACTGTCTGTAACCCAGAAACAAGGAATAATAACATGCATCCCTAAAGGAGATAAACCAAAACCATATCTTAAACGCTGGTTCCATCTCTTGGGATAAGAATTAAACCATTCATTTCTGATGCTGGCAATGCGCAGGAAAATATGTCTCCTTTCCGTCTTATTTCTTCCCCTCCATGGCAATTAGTAAGGCCCCAAGTAGACCT